CTTGCCCCCCCCCCCCCCCCCAACACCACCATACCCTTTTACCAAACAGTCCCTTAAAGGTTTCCTACAAAATATAAAAATAAATCACAAGACTCATCGGTGGGCAATATTTCGATAGTTTAGTCAATAATGGGTTGCGTGAAAAATGTTATAACAAATGAAGAAGATCAAGTCTTTCTTTTTGTTGTTATATAAATGGGCAGACAGCTATTATAGTGACAAATTAACTATTATAATAATTCTCAAATAATGCACTTGAGAAAACATGCACAAAGGGATGAAGAGAAATCCAAACAGAGTCACCCAAAGAGAGAGAAATGAGGTTTGAGTCAACCAAAGAGACAAAACGTGGAGAAATGTCTCCTTGGCATTAGCTGATGCCCAACCAAGTTAACATCAAGTTAGATTAGTAATGACTTCTACATCTGTATGGATTTGCCAGTGGTCATTACCGCACCACACACTTTGTTGTGATCATCAAGGGTTACTATATTCCAAACTCGTGTAGACATAGTGATTAAATGGACCAGAATAATGCAGAAACTATTAGCTAAATACAAGGGCAAATTAAACTTTGGATAATTGATTAGAATTCTCACATTGCATTATGAATATATTAAAAATATTATAATATGATCCTTCCATTAGTTTTATTTACTCATTTCGTCAATGTTAATGGGGTAATTTTTAACAGAATAAACAACGGAAGCCAACAGCAAGGCTATGTTACAACATTTTTAATAAATTGAGAGTCAATGTGAAAATTTTAATATTTGAGAATACAAAATAAAAAATTTAAAATCTTTTGAGGTGCAAAGTAAAATTTTCCCTAAATTGAATACCAAAGCTTTTAGAAAGAGAAAAAGTCATTACCTTTGTTCTAAGCTTAAAAGTGCATCTGAGTGGTTTTGATGTAGTATTGTTGCTTGATCTTCTTCCCTTCCTTTGTTGCTTGCGGGTCTTGATATTTGAAGTTTGATGGCCATGGAATTTGATTAATAGATTAAATAAGATTTCACGAAATTAGCCAATAATAATATATGATCTAACAATTTCCTCCTTTAACAATTTCGTGACAAAATACAAGAGTAAGAAATTAAAGATTATAACTCCTAAATCACTAAGAACAAAACAAATTGTAAATTAATTTCATCACCCAAATAAAAGTCTGTCTATCTCAATAAACTGTACATAAATTATCTTCTTATTGAAGTTTTGAAGTTCATAGTACTGCACAGCATCACTATATCAATATCTTGTGAAAAGCATAATATGTATGAATGACAAAACATAATCACAAATATGAAAATCACTAAGATAAGTATAGGACATATTCATGTTAACATTATATAAGGGAAAATATGTAACGCATATAAGAACTACCTTACCCAATATGTTTGAGGACCTTTAGATAGCATGACAATGCACAACTAGTTCTTCCCAGACCTTAGTTGGTGTTCACAATTAAAATAATTAATGAAAATAAATAAACAAAATAAATGACTTCATGTCAAGTTTGTGAATGTACTTACCTTGAGTATGTCAACAAACGCTCCCTTACTCTATTCACATGTAATTTACCTAAGATAGTCAAGAGAATATCTCCTCAAATTCGGTCATATGTATCCAAAATATTCTCCCCTTTTTTGTTATAAAGTGTCAAACCAATGACATATCATAACACTAAAGGGCTCAATATATGTTTTTAAAACACAATTAAGGTTTAAAAAATATTTTTGTTGAAAAACCCCTAGGAGTCATTTTTAGATATTTTAAATTTAATTTTGTTCACCTTAATCATTCTAAGTCTAAAATTAAATCAAGAAATCTAGGTCTCTAAGTTCATTATATTTGTCCCAAGTTGAAGGTGCATCAAAGTAGTCTTGGTGTAGCACTGTAGCTTAATCTCCTTTCCTTTCTTTTATGCTTGCGGATCTTGATCTTTGAAGCTTGATGATCATGAAATTTGGTTGAGATTATATCACAAAATTAAGTAATTACAATAACATGATCAGACAGACTTCTCTTATAAAAAGAGCTTCACCTCCCACCGATGTTAGAGTTCACTTCTTGAGGGAAACTAATCCTGAAACTATAAAAAGAGCTAGGGGAAAATAAAAAAAGGTACGCAACTTTGACTCCAAAAGTCGCACCCTGTCTTCTTTACCAAAACACTAACTTGGGGCATATGAGGGTCAACCCCTGGAACCCCCCCCCCTCCATTCTTCAGCTTCTTCTTTAGGTGACCAAATCTCAAGCAATCCCCTCAAAAAGCTAACGTGTATCCCTAGAGGGCTGACGTGGATAAATCTAAGGAAATTCAATTTTTTTTTTTTGTTATAAAAAAAAAGTAATTTTCTGTATTAAGCTTTGCTATGCATGACTCATATAACATATGACCATGAGAAGAAGAAATTCCAAAGCATTGCCTTTATGAAAATAGGCAAAAAAAAATCACATATTTTGTCAGCCAATGATACGATTTAACACGTAGCTAGTTTTGCAGGAACATCTTAAACAAAGTGACCTGCTTTGCAGGCAATGGATTGAGTGCCTATTAGATTCTTTTTCTGTTCTCTTCCATTTGTGTCTCTGGCTGCTGCTTTCATTTCAATTCAAACTTATACCATGAACTTTAGTTTTCTTGGAAGTTACAAGAATCTTACAACATGAGCTTATTTTTCCAATTTTGTGGGACTGCAATTGGTTGCTTACTATTCAAACCATGTCTCTTGCAATTATTTCAAACGTTGAGAAGTCATCACTCTCCAACTTGATGTTAACTAAGGCTTTTTTCTCTCTGGTACTTGACCCAAACTCATAACTCACTCTTTCACACCTTCTTAAGTGCCAAATTCCACATGCTAGGACATCAGC